ATGTCTGTGTGTGTGTGTATGTCTGTGTGTGTGTGTATGTCTGTGTGTGTGTGTGTGTCTCTGTGTGTGTGTGTGTGTATGTCTCTGTGTGTGTGTATGTCTCTGTGTGTGTATGTCTCTGTGTGTGTGTGTCTCTGTGTGTGTGTGTCTGTGTGTGTATGTCTGTGTGTGTGTGTCTGTGTGTGTGTGTATGTCTCTGTGTGTGTATGTCTCTGTGTGTGTGTGTCTGTGTGTGTCTCTGTGTGTGTATGTCTCTGTGTGTGTATGTCTCTCTCTGTGTGTGTGTCTGCCTGTGTGTCTGCGTGTCTCCCTTTCCCATGGCTGGGTCAGGCCAGCTCCGAGTTAGGCCCTTCCGAAAATACGCCGGTGGCGTGTTGGTGAATTGAGGTCATGACGATGCCGTCAAACGTGCAAGTGCAGATTTGGTTACACTGACGTTATGGAGTCTGTGCAGGTACAGTTTGTTGTAAACTGGCAGAATCTCTTTCTGGTTGCCCAAACTGGCTGTCAGCCAAGGACACCCAACCCGTGTGCAGCAGCGGATCGCCTGCTGCCAGCCCCTGCCACCACCTCCACAGGTCAGACGGTGAGAGTCTGTGTGAGGCACAATTCAGTGGGTTATAAATCTCCTGTAGCACCATAGCACATCACAGCTAACCAACTAGTGTCAAATAATGTTGCTGACAGATTCCATTGACATGTTACACTGTACCCTGTAGTGATCTTGGGGAAGAGGTGTCCTGTTCAGCTGGCAGTGTTGTCAGGGAAACAACCTTTGGCATTGGGATGCCATGGATAGCTGCTGTTTTAATTGGATGTTACTAGGGTCTCTGCCTGACTAAACATGGGTGTTACTGATGTCCTTCAGGAGGTGTTTTAAGGAATTAAGTGTACAAACAGAATGTAGTGGCTGTGAGACTATTTTTCAGAAGCCTTGTGGGAGTAATCTTATAGTGAGATTTGAGTTAGTGTAAGAAATTAAGTCTTCGTTCTGTCCTCTCCTCCTTGCAGGCTGCAGAAGATGTCAATGTTACTTTTGAAGATCAACAGAAAATTAACAAATTTGCAAGAAATACTAGCAGGATCACAGAGCTGAAAGAAGAAATAGAAGTGAAAAAGGTATATTTGCTTCAAATATCACTTATTCTTCATTGCCCTGAATTAATTTTGAGCTGTAACACAGAAAATAGGGGCTGTGGATTACTGTAAGTAATGCTTTGGTTCTACTATGAGATTTCTGATACTTTGAAAATAGGCGGAGAACGTTAAAGTGGAAAAAGAAGTAATGAGAAATAAACGCCATTAGTGTATGTCTGCATGCAGTTCTTAGAACTCCTTGGCTGTCATAATTGAAGCATTGTCTATAGGTAATAAGCCCTGATACAGATACAAGCCCTTGTAGAATTAAGCCTGGCCAGGGGCATTAAGAGCAACAAAAAAGACTTTTATACTACATCAGTGATAAAAGGAAGACAAAGGAAAATGTGGGCCATTTCTGGAAGGAAAAGGGAAACTTAGTTACCTGAGATATGGAGAAGGCTGAGGTACTCAATGACTTTTTGCCTCAGTCCTCACTGGCAAGTGCTTCAGCCACACTGCCCAAGATGCAGAAGGGAAAGACAGGGACTGGGAGGAGGAAGAACCGCCCACTGTATGTGCAGATCAGGTCTGAGACCATCTAAAGAACATGAAGGTGCACAAGTTGTGGGACCTGACGAGATGCATCTCTGGGTCCTGAGGGAGCTGACGGATCAAGTGGCTCAGCCACTACCCATCATATTTGGGAAGTCGTGGCAGTCCAGTGAAGTTCCTGCTGACTGGAAAAGGAGAAACATAACACCCACTTTTAAAAGGGGAAAAAAGAAGAGCTGAGGAACTACAGGTCAGTCAGTCTCACCTCTGTGCCCAACATGATAATGGAGTAGATCGTCCTGGAAACTCTGCTGGGGCACATGGAAAGTAAAGAGGTGATTGGTGACAGCCAACATGGCTTCACTAAGGGCAAATGGTGCCTGACAAATTTGGTGGTCTATGATGCAGTTACAGAGTTGGTGGACAAAGGAAGAGCAATTGACGGTGTCTACCTGGAATTGTGCAAAGCTTTTGACACTTTCTCTCACAACATCCTTGTCTCTGAATGGAGACATATGGATTTGATGGATGGACCACTCGATGGATCAGGAATTGGCCGGATGGTCACACTCAGACAGTTGTGGTCAACAGCTCAATGTCCAAGTGGAGAGCAGTGACAAGTGACATTCCTCAGGGGTCAGTGTTGGGACTGGTGCTGTTTAACATCTTTGTTGGTGACATGGACAGTGGGATTGAGGCACCCTCAGCAAGTTCACCAACAGCACCGAGCTGTGTGGGGTGGTGACACACTGGAGGGAAGGGATGTGCCATTCAGAGGGACCTGGACAGGCTGGAGAGGTGGGATGGGCAAACCTCATGGAGTTCAACAAGGCCAAGGACAAGGTCCTGCCCATGGGTCGGGGCAATCCATAGCACAAATCCAGGCTGGGTGAGGAGTGGATGGAGAGCAGCCCTGAGGAGAAGGACTTGGGGGTGTTAGGGAATGGAAAACTGCCTGTGAGCCACCAATGTGTGCTCACAGCCCAGAAAGCCAACCGTGTGCTGGGCTGCATCCAGAGCAGTGTGGGCAGCAGGGCGAGGGGGGGGGGATTCTCCCCCTCTGCTCCACTCTCGTCAGACTCTCCCTGCAGTGCTGTGTCCACCTCTGGGGCACCAACATCAGAAGGACATGGACCTGCTCGAGTGGGTCCAGAGGAGGCCAAGGAGATGATCAGGGGCTGCAGCACTTCCCTGTGAGGACAGGCTGAGAGAGTTGGGGGGGTTCAGCTGGAGAAGACTCTGGGGAGACCTTAGAGCGGCCTCTCAGTGCTTAAATGGGGTACAGAAAAGGGGGAGGGACTCCTTATCAGGGAGTGCAGGGAGAGGACAAGGGGTAATAGCTTTAAACTGAAAGAGGGCAGATTTAGATTAGGTAAAATTAAGAAATTCTTTACTGTGAGGGTGGTGAGACACTAAACAGGTTGTCCAGAGAGGTTGTGGCTGCCCCCTCCCTGGAAGGGTTCAAGGCCAGGTTGGACGGGGCTTTGAGCAACCTGGGCTAGTGGAAGGTGTCCCTGCCCAGGGCAGGGAGGTTGGAACTGGGTGATCTTTAAGGTTCCTTCCAACCCAAACCATTCTGTGATGACTGTAGTGTTTGTCAAAATTCTTGCCTGAGATTGTTCATACTTCTTTTTTCTTGAACCAGTAAGGCAGTTTGTTATGTTCTTTCAATGTGTTGACAGAGATTGTCATGAGTGCAGAGTTTTTCGTTTGCTAGGCTGAAGAGGAACATCATTCTAGTTTTCTTGTTTAGTATTAATTCACTTTCCTTCAACATCAGTAGTAGTGTTTCCAGAGATATTTTACCAAGTTTTTAAGAGATCCTAGTAACTGTCACAAAATGTTTTCTACATTACTTTGCCTCATATGTACATTGTAAAAATGTTGCCTTTTAATGTCGATGTTTTATTGATGGCTTAGGGTGCTGGGATTCTAAGAAATCCACTTTTTCAATAAAGTAGTTAACAATTGCCATCTTATTATTTTTTTCTGTTCTGTTGCAAAATTAAAACACTCCTTTGTACGAGCATCAGAGATCAATGAAATTTAAATCGGCTGTATTTCCCTTGTCTATACAGTTAATTATCCTATTAATGACAGTTAACGAGTATTGACTAGAAATTTCTACTGGTACAGCTCCATTGAATTTAATACTTATGCTAAATTACAGCTCAAAGTGTTCTGTTAAAAATGTTGATATCATACTGGCAGGTAGGATTTTTGCCCAAAATGCAGACTTGATGAGTTCATTATTCAACTGATAGCATGACAGTGTATTCCTTGAAATAATTTACTTAGTACAAAGTGACCACCTTTCTTACCTCCTGATAAATAGAAACAACTTCAGAATTTGGAAGATGCTTGTGATGACATCATGATGCTTGATGATGGTGACTCACTTTTCATACCCTACCAAATTGGAGATGTCTTCATTAGTCATTCCCAAGAGGAGACACAAGAGATGCTGGAGGAGGCAAAGGTTTGTCTAGGCAAAAGGGAGCTTCTTTACTGTTCTGGCTGCTATAATGTGATGAGCATTGGAGTGGGGTGATCTGTTCATCCTTGGAACTTTTTCTTTCTAAAGTTCATGTTTGACTTATGATTTGAGGAGGGGGATGTGCATGCACAGTAAGTCATAACGGGGATGTCAGTACACAAGTCATGCTAGCCTTTGTTTGGCTCTGTAATAAGTCTTACAGCCTGTATTGGCAAAAGATTGGCAAAGGGCCACCTCTTTATTGCTTACATATTGCTGACAAACATGACTCAGTTTGTTTTACATAACTGGTTGAGTTTTTTCTTTTTCAGAAAAGTTTACAAGAAGAAATTGAAGCATTAGAATCCCGAGTGGAATCAATTCAGAGGGTGTTATCTGACCTGAAAGTTCAGCTCTATGCAAAGTTTGGAAATAACATAAATCTTGAAGCTGAGGACAGTTAAAGGTGTTCTAAAGATACCATACAACTTTTTATTGTTTTGTTAAATGTTTTGATAACATTGTTCCAATCACATTAAAAAAAAAATCCACCACTTTTTTTTTTCTTTTTTTTTTACTTTCGTGTCTTGGGTTCCATCTATTTAATAAGACCTTTCTTTTGGTTATTGCAGTTATTTATTTGTTTAGGAAAGCATTATCTTCATACTGTTGGTAAAGCATCAAGATTGGAATATTTGCATTATTTATTAAAGTAATGAAGTCAGGCACATATTGTAGTTTCCTTGGTCTTGTTTTCCACTCACAAAGATACCTAAGTGTAATAGAGATGAGGACGTCTGATTTGCACTGTAATAGCTGTTTTTGATAAAAGTTTCTCTGTAATATGTAGGGCATGATTCAGCTGTACTGCTATTTGGCTGGTTTTAGCAGCCCTCCTGGAGATACTAAATCTATCCTTTGTCTTTCAGTCTTAGCTCAGATAGCATAAACACTGTAAGCTCAGTGCACAACGTGGCAACAAGTTGACAAGGGAGAAAGGAGGGCTCTTTAAAACTCGCATTGGTATCGAAGAAAAGCTTTTGGAGTCACAGTCGTATTCAATCGTTTACTACTTTGTATTTGGGAATCACTAAAGATGCTAAAAGTCAGAATGGTGAGTCTTAACTTCTAATTTTCCTGAACAATCATTTTCTAAATCCACATTTATATACCAAATTGATGTCAGAATTCTTCATAGCTGATGTTGCTACGTCAGCATCAATCCCTGGAACTGTGCCTCCACCACTATGTGAAGTTGAATGTAATATTTAAATGTCTTAATTTGCTGACTCCTCATGTCCTTAAAAAAATTATGTACTGTCTCACTGTAATTCTGCTTTTGGATTTTGCCTGCTTTGATTAATGTATTATTCCATGGAAATACCTGCACGTTATGACTTTGTTTTTAAAAATTAAATCTTAGCATACTTAAGTCATCTTTTTAAGCTGTTTTCCAAAATAGTGTGAACAGAGAATTCAGTTGGCCAAATACTGATCTACAATCATTGTTCTTAATATAAATAATCAGAGTATGAGATGAGTATATTTTTATAAAGTGATTAATACCTACCTGTCATGTGTCAGTTGTGTAGCATCTCTTCTTCAAACAGTGTGAATGCGGAGGAAGAAAAACCCACTTGATTATTACTGAGGAAGTTTTGACAGGGTAGTGATACTGAACTTGATCTCCAGTACACCTGAGCAGGATCTCACTGGTGCATTGTTACTTATGAATTACATCACTGTAACTTACATAGTCATTCACATAAGTTTATTAAAGTTGGTTTTAAGGTTTAGCATAGCCATAAGAGAAGACTGTCTTCCACAGTGAAGATCTCATACCTCAACACAAGCCTGTCTATGATGTACAGTGTACATCAACTAATGGCTGTAAGTCTCAAAAACTGTGTGAATCTTCTGTCTGGCCCTGACGTTTCCCAAGTTTCTTTTTGGTAGGATTCCAATGCTCTGTATGCTTCTGTTGATGGACATATGTACAAATAACCCTGGCTATAACTGCACAGGTTTTTAACCTTGTTTTTTAACTGGTTGTGCTTTTAATTGAAGCCTATGATTCAGGAAAGATTTCAACTTTTTCCTTACTTCCTGAGTGAATACTTCCACTGCTCTGAAGTAAAAGATGGATATACTAGCCATGGCAGCTCTACTGCTCTGTCTGCCAGTCATTGCTTGTAGCCAGTCAAGTGTGTTGGGCCTTCAAAGAGATAGAGGTGTTCCTTTACATAATTCCTGAACCCTCCATACAGTTTTCTGTGTTAGGCAGGTGTTTGGTACCGAACTACTTAGAGCAGTTCTGGCTCGACCCAGAGCTGTTGTTTTAGTCACCAAAGGGAGAAGGTGGTGGCCAGTTTTCTGATATTAGCTGATACGAGTACTGTGGACTTGGGTGACTCAGCTCTGCCTTACCCTGCTCTATTAGATACAGCTCTTAGTCCAAAACTCTGAGAGCAAGGTAACAGTTTTAGGATGTGCTGGTATTTTAAGGTTTCTTCCTAATCAGGCAAACCATTCATTTGGTATGTTAAAGTAAGCCATCCAATGCACTTGTCTTTATAAACCAAAGAAAATGTGAAAGATTTTCCAGGTGAAAACAGCTAGTGGTGGAGTTTGACCCATGATGAGAAGCATCCAGCAGATGGCATCAAAGAACTGGGGAAACCATTTTACGGTAAGCCCATGCCTAGGCTGTGTCAGTGCTGATTTTAGTAAAGTGAAACTTTGGCTGCAATGATGGCATTGTCATTAATTTGTTGGTAACACTTTAAAATTCACTCCTGAGCGACTGCTGTGCCAGCTCTGCTGTTCTGAGCATGTTCACAGCTGTGCAGACTGTGGGTACTTAAAATGATTGTCATTTGCAGATAGTCCATAGTATGGATATGGCTTCATTGTGGCAAAGAACAAGGCAGCTGGTGAAGTTTAACTGTGATTCCAGTGACAGTTATAAAGCCAATGAGGACCTTAGTTCAGTAAAGGACCCAAAGCGGGAATGCTGGCAAATTGTGGAGAGCTTGCATTATCCCTGCTGTTCTTTGGTATCCTAGAAGTGTAATTGTCCATGGCCTTGGTGTTTAGGGAAATGAGGGCTGTTACAATGTTCCTGTGAATGCCAAAGGTCTCCTCTCTGGTGTTTTATTTCAGTCCTCTGGGGGTTCTTTAGTGACCCCACCCACTTATTTTCTTTCTTTTTTCTGGTTATCATGGTGTTGGTATATTTTAGGCCACTTCACTAGGCCTTCCTGCACTACTAGATCTTAGGCTTTTATGTGTCTTTCCTGTCTGCTTAGTCCTTGCTACAAATTGTATGTCCATGCAGCCTTGGAAATCTAGGTGGCTTTCTGCACATGTAATGTCCAGTTTCCTTCTATGGTTTCGACAGTTGTGTTTGCAAGTTGGGCAAGTAATAATCCAACAAACTTTTTCAGATTAGTCTCTGAATTTTTGTGGTTTACAGAAATACTTTCCCAGGCTATCATTTGATGTTTTTATGTAGGAAGTTCTTTTTCATTCTTAAGTAGAAGTTAATTTGCAGATCGTCCATCGGTTGCTTGAAAGTATTTGACAGGCCTAGTTTTTCCTTTTCATAAGCGTCCTCCTCCCTAGTGAATATATGCAGTTGTTTTTCAGTTAGGATTTATTCTGTTTAGAACCCCATCTTCTAAGGAAGTTTCTGTTATCTCTAGTAATGTTTCCCTTACAGTTATCTTGTTCAGATAATATAAATCCTTAAAAAACCCCCGGTCTTCTACACCTCTGTACATGTCACGAATCATGTAGCTGCACGTGACAATATACATTTTTTAGTATCATTGTCAGAATGCAAATAGTTTACTGACATTCTCTGTATTGTCAATGGAGTGACATTTGTAAAGCGCTTGAAAGATTAAATGCACTGTAAAAGTGCTGTTATTTTAATGTAAGGGCTTCGTTCAGAGCATTGGCCAATGATCTCTTATGATCTCTTAGTGACTGAATTAGCTGTTCAGCTCAATCTTCCTATTAAAATACAGTTTCCATACTGTTTTTGTTTTGCAAGTCATAGACCCACCAGTGGCTGGCTTTTCACGTGGTTGCAGCAATTAAAGCAGGTAAGCTGGCAAAGCTGCAGTTGGTGGAATATAGCTCATTTCAGTACCTGTTGTCAAGGAGACTTGACCTACCATTTTTTGGAAGTAGCCTGCTAAAAACTCTGTAAAACATAGTAGGACACAATTATATATTCAGGGGCTTATTTGTGGTTCTGTATCTTGTCAGCTGATACGAAAATGTTTTCCACATGATGATCTCTAGCATAACCTTCTCCAGTAGAGCCTTCATTATTGCTTGTCACTTTTGTATAGAAGATCGTCAGATACCATTACACTCCATAATATAAATGTGGTTGATAATTATTCAATAATTACAGGAAGTGGTATGTAGCTGAAGTACAGATAATTTTGTAGTACTAACTATTACTTCAAAGACCAAAAAGAGATTGAATGCTGAATACTAAAGCCATATTTTTTATAGGAGCAACAGAATTAAGTACTTTGGTTTGCATGAGTCAGTGGTTCAGATAATTTATCTAATGTTATTCTAATGGTCTGATTCATGAAAGAGAAAAAAAATGTGGATGTATATAGGCATGATAAGGCACAACAGAAGTTATTTACAGCTAAGTTTGTCCTTATATTGATTGCATGAGTCATACAGAAATTACTTTGTAATTAAATGTTAGCTGCTGAGCGGACTGCACAGAACACAGTGCACCAAACACAGGTGTAAATGGCTATGAGGGATTTCCTTCAGCAAGAGTTGAAATAAGTTTACAGTTAAGGGGGACTGAATCCAGCTGTTAGAGATGTAATAAGAAAAATTATAAATCTGAATAGAACATCTGCCATTTACTACATATTTTTTGTTTGCTCTTGCTCTCCAAAGCTGGTTAGCATATTGTGGCTGATCTCAATTTATGAACTGCAGGTATCATTAGGTGGCCCTCTATACTCATGGCAGCAAACCCCAGGGGGACACTGAGTGGTGGGGTGCAGGGTTGCAATGTCAGTTCATCAAAGGATTGCTTTAGGATAACCCTGTGCTCTGGTGTGGCCTTGTTGCCACTTGTACAGGGGAGAGAAGAGACAAGGTGTACTTGGTGGTGAGTTACAGGCTTGGCCAGTACTACACTTGTCCGTTTCCTTAAGCTACTAGGAAAATGTCCCATTTGCTTTCTCAACACAGCCCAGCACAAATGAGGAAAAACCTTGTTCAGTGGATTTTTAGGTTCTGTCAAGTTTTACCCTTCAAGCACAGTACAGAAATCCATCATATTGTCAAGTTTGGATGATTTTTTTGCCTTGTTAACTGTAGCTAATAGGACTGTGCATACCAGACTTACAGTGTTCTGGTAAAGTTACAACTTTTAAAAATTATATTTACACTTGAGATTTCTACTGTCTATTAGATATCTGGTGTGAATTAAACCAGACTCATGGGTAAGGGCTAATCATTGAACGACAGCCTATAGCATCTCAGTATAAAACCCGTCTACCTTTGGGTGCACAATAGCAGTAAATCAACTCAGATAAAAATTATTAATCTGAACGTACATGGCTAAGTACTGAGAGTAATTCTGCACTCAAGACTGTTTTTTATTAATACTTTGGGGGAAAATAATAAAACTTTCAGTTTCATTTCTGTTGTGAGAGCTATTTCTTGCTCAGTTGCTTAATATTGCTATTAAAAGTTCATCCAGAAAAGCTTTAGTTTGCTTTTGAAACTGTCTCCCACCACCAGTGTTAACCATGTCTATGCTCTCTAACAGCCTCTGGGGAAGTTTTTAAACTTAAGATTTGGCTCCCCTTTGTAGGGCTTAGAGAAGTGTTCACATGTTTTCCATGTATGTGCTACCTAAGACAAATGTATTATGATAAATTATGCTCTTGAAGAGCAGTGGATGTGCTTGAGATGTTCAGGATAGCATTTATAGTGGTTGACTTCTGATGAGGCAAGCAAGGATAATGTCAGCCACAGGTGGAAATCCTGACAACTCCTGTGCTGCTTATGCAGATGGCTCTGTTAAACCTTCTATAAAAATGTATCCCAACCATTTTACATTTAATTTTTTTCTTTTGAGGTGCAGTCAAAATCATATTAGGGATGATGGTACATTTTTCCCCTCCTTCAGGGGAAGGGAAAATACAGTTGTTTATGTGAAAGAAACAGCAATTAGGAGGTAAGAAATGTAAACTACATAGTTATGTGATGCATAGGTTATGCAAATATGCATAGGTTAATACAAACATGTCCCTCAATGTCAGTAGTTGAAGTCATATATAGTCCTTGTATCTGTAATCATTCTGCAGATAGAAGTATTAGCAAAGTATTCATTTTGTGTTTGTGGCCCAGATCCTTCATGAAGATGAGCCTCCTTAAACTCTACAGCATTTCTACCTCCTTCTCCCCTCCCCAGCTTCTTTTCCCACCGCTGTAAATGTGGTAGGCTTATTGTAGCAAGGTAGGAGTACCCGGATACATATAGACTGTCTAAGCAGATGGGACCGTGTTGGTACACTCTGCACTGCAGAAGATGCTCTTACAGCGCATGTGCAAATACAAATATTAAGAATTACTAAAGGAACAAAATGCACTTCACTGTAGAAGAGTTTTGGCCATGATTACACATTTTGTTATGATTTTTGGTTTTACGGAAGCGGTAGCAAAATCAACTGCAGAATATATTTTACTAGTTAATTTGTTCTACAGCATTTGATGGGGCCATTCTAATGGTTGGACTAGATGATCTTCAAGGTCTTTTCCAACCTAGATGATTCTGTGAAATGATCCTGGAGCTACGGTTGAGGATGTTTTTCTTTCTGTTCTCTTCACCCTCCAGCTTAGGACATTAGTGGTAGAGTAGCTGTAATGACTGCTTGTGGATGTTACTGTGAGATCACTGTTGCAGAGGTTTTGCTGTTACTCTCTCCCAGATTATCCTCCTCACAGTTCATTCCTATGTGATGTAGCCATCAAGGAGAGAGTGATACTTAAGTGCATGTAGCACTCACGTTTGCCTGTACAGTCACTTCTCTGGCACCTCATTATTGCAGGTACAAAGTACCATGGGATGAAGAACTGGATTATAGACAAGTGTGGTTTGGTTGGTTGTGGGTTTCTTGTTTTCTTCTTGTGTTTTAAGTTCTTGAAGAAAATGTAACTAGAGGGCAAAAAGTACAAGTTTATAGTCAGCTTTGCATTGGGTACAGTAGCTATCAGACTTTAACGAAGTAAAAAAAAATGGTATTTTACCAATATGATATTGTTACTTTCTACTGTGGTAGCCACCTTTATCTCAAATGTGACATGGAATTTTCATACTACTTTTAATGCTCTTCAGCCAGTATTTTACATTTCAGCCACGTGTACTATAAGTGACACTTAGCTTTGCATTTTTTACATCTAGCTTTGGCTTTGTATGCTTTCACTTTTCCAGACAACAGACTGCTAAGTAGCTGTATGTATTTATAATGCTGTTTGGTGACATCGGCACAAGAATTTCACATCAGGTTGACTTTTATTTATTGTCACTGGCTAGAACTTCTTGACATGTAATTTTATTGCCATTATATTTGACACAACAAACATCTAATAAAATAAAATTGCATTTCATTTTATATCAAAGCAAAGATTTATTTAAAATCATCATGAAGTTTCAACTGATGCCTGTTGCTATGACAACATGCAGTATTGTGGTTAGCATAGGAATTAGCTCAAGAATTTCCTGAGTTTCATGTCAAATATGAATAGTTTACAAAGCTTACCCTATACTAAACAGGACATGGGGGAGAAAGATCACAGGCTCTTTCCTTCTGCTCCTTAAATGCTGGTTTCAATTCCCTCTTATTTCAAAAGCAAATTTCTTCTTGATGTCAAAGTTGATCAAAAGTTAGGAAATTTTTCAGAGTAATTTGTCTGTAACCTGCTATTTTCATTTGTCCTTTTTACTGCAATGGGAACTACAAAGTTTACTTTTCATTCCACAGTAGATTTGATGCGTTGATAATGAACTCTGAATCAGGCTTGGCTACAGTTCACACATTTCCTAGCACACTGGAAAATATGTATTAAGGCTCTTACTTTTCTCTACCTACATGGTGTGACTTGGAGCTTCTTATTGAAATGTTTATATTTCAATTAATGGAGCTATATAGATGCTGAGATAATGAACACCATTCACAATTTGAAAAAATAAATTAATCATACAATTAAAATAATGTAAAATGAGAAAGTGATTAATTCAGAGCCAAAATAAATCAATATGCCTTAGCCATAATGAATTCTGAAAGGAGCAAATAAGAGAGATTCTCTATACATGTAACTTCTCTGAAAAAGTCTCAGATATTTCCAGTGACTGCGTCTTCATTAATGTGTATATCTATGTTTATTCCACACTATTTTTTCAAATAAGGCCACGAAGTTGGTTGTTATGCATCAATGTACCACTTACACCTAGCTGAATTGTATGAACCAAATTGTGTCACATTCTGTTCTGTTAATCATCATTATGAAAGGAGAAAGTTCTAGTTCAGCTTTCAAAATGCTGCTGTCTTGGTCTTTTGGTTGTGAAATAGAACTGAATTAATAAGCTATAGTAGTCCGCATAATTATAAAGGCACAAAGCAAACATGGAAATTTGCAACACCTCAAAAAAAAAAAACCCAAAAAACCAACCCCAAACAAATCAGCCCAGAATTATTTCCATTTCACAGCTACTGTGGTTAATTTGGAAGCAATGGAGTAAGGAAGATCTAAGAACCAACTTAGAGCTTGCTGTGAAAAGGCGACACCAGCAATGTTTGAAATGTCTGTACTGTATTTTATAGACAACAGAAGTGCAGTAGGGTTGTCTGTTCACAATGCATTAATGAGTTCAATTCTAGCTTCTTCTAAAGGGGTTCTGAGCACATATGGGAAAAACAATGCTTTGGAAAGACACCTGAGCTTCATTTTTATGTATAGTTGTGCAGATTTCCTGAATTCATTGCTGTTGTATTTGTACAAAAATCAGTATGTGTGGAATTAAGGGTGGAAACACCACAAGAAAATGTTTAATTTTTACTTCCTGTGTTGTCTATTGGGATTTTGTATTGGTGTTAGTACCTTCATTAAAAGTCATTGAGTTTTGTGGCATTGGGACTTTCTCCCACAGAAGGAAAGGTATGAAATGACCTCTAAATTTTTTTCTTTTACCTAGATATGGAATTTTACAGAGTTTATAGGGAATCTTATGATTGTACTTGGGAACAAGAGATGATACATTCAGACATCCAAGCCTTTTGTATGTCTGAAACAGCTTTGCTGATGATCTTAGCTATTACAGAAACAGCAGTACAGAGCAGGAAAATCCTCAATGATCTGCCCACTTTTCCCCATTGTTAACATTTCAGTTTTGTTGAAGAATTAGAGTTGACCCTTGTCTGCTAAACCATTACTGAGTGCCCCAGACACATTAGAGGAAGTGAATTAAACATAAACTTTACCACTATCGATAATGTGAAGTAAGACTACACATGCGAAGATCTCTGCCTTAGTAGAAGCAAATGTCCTCAAACAAGATCGGCAAAAGTTGGATGTGATTTGCATTAAGAAAATAGTTTACATTTTTCCTAGACTTTGTATTAAAATTGACTCAAAATTAGTACCAAAGCCTGTGAGAAATATTGATTTAGAACAAAAAGCTTATCTCTTAAGAGAACAGGCAGAAGCAGAAATTGAAAAAAAAAAAGGTGACTGGCATATGTATACATTTTTTAATGTCTCTGCAATGTACTTTTCAAGGTTTTCACAAATGGAAAATCTCAAGAAGCACATGTCATTACTCATCATATTTTCTTTCTTCCCTGTGGCTTAAAAGGGGTACAATCAGTAGGCGAGGCAGCATTACTGTGAGAAAGGACACAGCCATTTATAAAGAATAATGAAATGAAAAATACAGTAAAGCCTACAACTGTTCCTTCCTTGATTGTTGATATTGAGCTTTATTAGAGCATTTAAAAGATTAGAAGGGATTATAGTCGTAGTACTGGCTACCATGGAAATGCCACTTCAAATGATAAACCCCTTAGAGTGACACTGGTATTTCAGTGCATATCACAAGTAATTATTCAGGTGAAGAAATGAATTTTTAGTGGCTCTTTGGAATGGATTTCTTTATTCTCCCTGACCCCCTTTTCTCCTGCTTTTTAAAAAGAGCTAATCTTATTTCATCTCTGTTCTCTGTGAAGCAGGTATTTGGAATGCTTATCTCAGCTTTCCAAAGCAGTATACAGTACAGTGATTGTGGCTAAAAACACACCTATCCCTAGTGCCTGCAAAATGTTAAAACAGAAAAGCACGATTGTTCTCCCTAAGGAGAGGAATATTCTTTAACTGTTGTAACAGTATCAGTGGAACAGAGCCAGACAGCTGTGATGTCCAGTCTATTCTAGCTAAAGACAGAAAGTGCATGCAGCTGGCCTGGTTTCAACCAACCATTTGTCTGAACCGAGAAAAGCTGGATTTTGAGCGTGAAAGTATATTTGGAAAAGCTGGAGATTTGGATGCCTGGTTTTTAGCCAGAGCCTGCTAGGTACAGGAGTCATTAAAAGAGGAAGCAAGGTAGTGACACGCTGACACTTACAAAGTAATGATTTTGGGATTACTTTCAGAGGTTCAAATTGTGTTATACATTGTTTCTGAACTAGCTGATAAAAGTTGGAGACAGACAAATATTCAGGCACACAGAGCGTATCCTTTCGAGTGCAGTGCGATTTATAAACTGAGAAAAGTTTAAACTCCGTAATTCTGCTGGCCTTCTTTTAAAGGTTGCATCCATTATTCTCAGATGATCGTAAAAACCCTGTCTTTTGCATAAAGATATAATCAGTGCTAGAAGCTTCACTAAAACAAAATATACTCTGTGTCGCAGGGACATCACAGCAACTGTCCCAAGTATTTTGTGAAGCTACACACTAACATTCTTCAAATCAAGAATTAGCCATAAAAAAGTAATTATTAGGTCAGAATGCAGTTAAGAAAAAAGAATCTAAATCCATTGGAGGTATCTATTTTAGAGTAATTTAATCTGGTAACTTAGAATTGAAATCTGTGGATTTAAGTGGAAGGGATAAATCTTATCAGAGGGACTTCCCTTCTGTTATTAAACACAGTCTGCTTGCAGATTGTGTAAGTGTATAAGGGCTGAGAATTCACCATTGTACAGAATTTGGAAAATTAAATTATGGTAAGGAAAATAGTCGTGGAACCATTGCAGTGAAACCAAGACTTGAGACACAAATGGGACCTCAAGCTCCTAGAATTCTATTTTATGTTCTCAGAAGAGGATGAATTCCAGGCATTTAACCAGGAGCAGGGATGAGTGTATTCTAAAACTTCAGCAAGGGTTTTACCAGACAAGTACTCATGTAGTTTTCTGGACAGTTTACCCACAGAGGGTTCAGAAATGTTGCAAACACTATTCTTGGCACATAATGTAGATTTGGTATATTCACATTGGCCATTTCAATGGAGATTACATCGGATGACAGAAAACTTTAACTTGCCTCTTCAGTTGTGGTAAATACAGAACTATGTGCTGGTTTAACACTGTGCCTCCTTACAATTGACACGGATGAAGAAAAGCAGCCCCATGCAAAGAGTTGCTAGAACTGAATAAATAATTCATGATGACCAGTTTATTCAAACACATTGTCTCCCCTTCTGTTTGCAAATTGACCACAAATAAAGTGACCTTTTTTATTTGATCAATTATTCAAGAAATTCATGGAATAGTTTTTGATCTCCAATGTTGTCATGTCAGCTTCATTAAAAATAGGAGAGATTCATAAAGCAATCTGTTTAACTGGACACAAATGTCATGCTATGGATCTTGTTTGAGTGAAGGGACATAGTTTAGTGGTGGTCTTGACAAGCCAACCTAAACGATTCTGTGATTCAATGATAGCAACCATTACGTTGATTAGAGTCAAGGTTTTAGTTAAAATGTCTTTGCTTTTTCATCTGACATTTTATTTTTGTCTAGGCAGCTCTGTATTTGCTTTGAACTTGCTTATTTTCTTATAGTTACCAGTATTCCTGAAAATAAACTCATTCATGGTGGCATCCTCCAGAGGAACATCACCAAATTCTCTGAGATAAGAGTATTACGAGTGGAAGAATTAAGGCAAATTCCCAGTGAGACTGCAGAGTGTATTTAACATCAATGAAGTCAGTCCAACTCTTACCATTAACTTTATGTTTTAAGGCATAAGCCAACCATTAACACGGGAAAGAGAACATTTCTTTCCAGATAGATAATTTTAAAGTAATTGACTGAAGATTTTCTTATATTCTACATAAAAATCACAAAAATAACACCTCTGTTTGAGGAAGTCATGGCAACACTTCTCCAGGTTAAGGGGCTACACAGAATAGGTTGCTATAGGTTAGCTCAGTTCTCATACTCACCTTTGTTTTGACCACAATGGATTGTTCTCAAAAGAATGACACGGGTTAGGAGGATTTTTAGGCTAAGCTGGTGTGGCCTTTTTGACACTTATCATGAGCCCAAGGCATTTCTGACTTACTACAACAGTAAGTGTTCATTTTGACTGCATGCTGTGAGAATATAAAAAAAGCTTAATTTCTCTTTTTTTTTTTTAATATGTAACCAAAATTGGTATGCTCTTGAAAATCTGTAATAAATTTAATTCTTTTTTATGAAGTTTCTTCTTTTTCTTTTCCTCAGATTAGCTACATGTATTTACTTATCTGTCTCAGCTGTTGCAAAGGTGAATTAGTCAGAGTTTTCAGAGTTTTGTAAAGCATCATGTATGTGTCAAGATTTTAAGTAATCTCTTGGATAGCATTTATCACTATATTTAATAGGCTTTCAATTAGAATGCCAATTAAAACTGATTTGTTTTAAAAAACACATATTTTTAATTACAGCACGCACATTCAGACTTGTATTTAATTGCAACAAGATTGCTGAAATGCTATCTTTATTCCTAGATACACAAGGACAATGCTTTTACTCAATTCTCTGCAATTAGGATGAAGTAGGAACATTATCTCAGCAGGTGCAGAATAGCTCAGAAGGGAAGAGCTGAGGAGCAGATTTTTGTGGCCCTGCTGGCTGAATGGTTGTAATATTCTAGAGGTCTGCCTCAATCCAGGATAAGTCCACAAACACAGGCTCAAGAGAATCTGTAATGAATTGTGGTAGCTAGATCTCCCTCTTTAACTGCAGAGCTCACCATCCTGTGTTGAAACTCTTCACAACCAGTGCCTCAGGAAAGTGGCAGTGTTGCAGACAGGCACAGTGCAGATCCTTGGCTCCCCTTTAGTCTGCTCAGTGTGACTTCTGAGAGACCGTAAGGGCATGGTGCTCTAACACAAGAGAAATACTCATTTTATTCATCTGAGGCTGACATAATCTGCCTTATGCAAGATGCTTTTGACCCTGCTGGAAAGTAATGGTGGACTGGAGAAATGGTTTAAATGAGACTACCTGGGTTATAACCATGTTGTGCCTTGGAGGCAAGAAGGGCAGGCTCCAGCCCTTAGATTCAGGTCCAGCAAAGGCCTGAAGAGTGTGTGTAATCCCAGCCTGTAAACAGTCTCACTGAAAACGATGGGACTACAGAACTATTTCAGAAGTTTGATAACAGCAAAATGCTTCCCTAAGTTAGGTGTTGAATACGCAGTATCTGCAAACCAGAGCCCATATTCAGTATTACCTTCTTTCTATCATGCTCTCAGATCTCACACTGCAAGTTCTATCTGTATTTTCTTCTACTTTGGCACACGCTATACTGGTATTAAAAGGTGGTCTGATTTATGGTTTAGATTTTTTGTCCATTTGTAAAGCAGCACATCAAGTTTTAATATGTAATCTATCAGCATTGTAAATCTCATACTTCTGGATATTCTGTTGTCAAGGCTAACTGCAGTCTTTGAAGTTTTAGTACAGTAATCCCCTTACCAGCCGAAGGAAAGGTTTTCAAGATATCAATTTCTTTCAGTTTTTCAGTGACTATGCACAAAAGCTGCGTTTCACTAACTACAGTTGGAGGAAGTGCACCTCTTGTGACACTTCTCATTACAAAGATTTTAAGTGTAGATTTGGAATATAACGTTATAAATAGTGACACTGATCACTGATGTGATCTGAAGTAAACTGTGAAAATAGTTAACTATCTTCTCACAAACATAGGGGCCTGAGTTTGTTGTAGTGGCTTATCACTTGCCAGCTGAGCCAGGGTAACTATGCATGGCATTTTGCAACAGCAAAATAGATCATTAGTTTAAACCACTACAGCGCTTTCACCATCAGTCATTCGCATTAAAACCCACTTGACTTCAGGTTAGTCTTCTTGCTACTCAGTGTTAATATTCTCATGTTCCTTTAGAAAATAGTAGCTAAACATTGAATTCATAGGTACTTAGAACAATGCACAGCATGACATTATGTATAGTAACTGTAATGGTGGTCTGTTCCCATGTGAGTATTTACGTACCTCTTCGCTGTAAGATCTGAAGTCAAGAAGTTGAAGCAGAATGTGACAAATGTCTGGACTGTGTGCCATATGCACAATGTAACAGAATAAGCTTTTCAGTTGCTTCTATAATTAAAGTAAACAAGGCTAAAATAAACCCAGAGTGGAAAATAAATTGAGCTGAGGATATGATTACACCTAATTTCCATGGGCTGCGTGTTATTCTGCATTCACAGCATAATTCCCCTTCAGCACAATTGTAAACATTTTGTTCTCATCTGGTCGTGGATTCCTCTCATCCTAAGGAACAGCTTTATCCATAAGCATCAAGAAGAGTATGAATGCCCAGCCCCTCTCTGTGATAAATGTCATACTTTCAGGGAAAAGCTGCATTTGAATGCTTTCTTCTCGCTGATGTTATATTCTTGGCACATGCTCCAAATTTGAGCAAAAAAGATAGCCCTAGTCTTGTGAGTCATTTTCTTGATTGATCTAATTTACCTTGAAGGTTAATGTATTCTAAACTAATTCAGAGATTAATAACCACTTAAAGATATATGAAAGACATTTAACTGTATACCAGACGAGTGTTGTAACCTAGTTTATTATCTCTTCAATGACTTTGGGAGTTCATTTGGGGAGACTTAAAGAGTTATTCGATTGTTTGATACACAGAGTGGCAGGTGCAAAGCAAGAAGGTGTTTTCAGAGCTCACTAGTTAATTCCAAAAAAAGGGATGTAATTCTCTTGGCTTATACTGCATAATTCTAATAAAACATTTATGTTCAAGGTGATAATTAATGATTTTTCTTATGGCATTTGTTAAAATTCTTTCAGTGATTAAATAATTAGTTGGACCATAACAATGGTGGACAGGTCCATTCTCCAGCCTGCTTTTGACTTTTAGGACAACAGAACTGCTGACACTGCTCTTCTTTTTTTGCAAGACCACACCAGAATACCAGTACAGAGCTTTGCCTTTTTCTTAAGGAACCATGTCAAGTTTTGGTATTGCCTTTTTCAAATATAAAAAACTGCAGGTCTTTTGTATGCCTGCTGGTTTTGAATGTGTCCTCTTTCTGCTGGAAAAAAATTATTCAGTAATTTTCTGAAGAATTTGTGTCTGACCTGATAGAATTATGAGATGGAAACGTGAGGTGGTACTATACGCGCTCAGGAGCCCTCACTGGGCTGCCATATATTCAGAAGTCTCAGACATTTTCTGGTGTAAGTGGAGATGCCAGTTGCTGCTTAGAGCTATTGGTGCTGAAGATCTGTGTATTAAGTCCGGCTTCTGTGGGAAGCTCTGTACTTCTGAACTAATCAGAAGCATTCTTGGCTGCATCAGATATATTGTACATATACAAAAAAAAAAAAAAAAAAGTATTGCATGGCATATATACAATAGGTCCCAAGTATTTCAAAACCCTGAACAGAAATAGTGTACGCTGGGGCTATAACATACCGTGGTTTGGCCTGGCTGGTCTCAGCAAGAGGTCAAAGCTGAATGAAGACTGAGCTCTTTATGTCCTTCTGATAGTCCAGTTCCAGACTTCTTCCTATCTGGGGGAAGGAACAAAAGCTGCTTAATCTGCGTTACATAGATTATGTGAGAGCTTTACACATGAGCTTGTGGCCGAGGTACTTTTCTGAGTGGTGCTAAGGATCTACTTCTCATCAGTTCTGTTTAAACAGAGGAGAGAGTTGTTTGATATTTACAAATGCTGAACCTCTTCAGCTGCCAGAAATTGGTGAGAGTTGCAAGTTATTAAGCAGCAGCAGGGAACAGATCAGGCAAATAGTGTCTGTTTACTGTAAATATTTTGTTTTATATTTACAGCCAGATAGGTACCAAAATTGTGAGCTGTTAGGCACATTAATACCTCTGAATATCGTGTGTGTGGTCCCATTCACTGACCTTTAAAAATAACAACGATGATATACAAGGTGTTTTTTTTTTGCCACGAGTATAGTATCCTACTGCTTGTAGAGCTTGTATCATGTTTTACCTGGGTTTTTATCTCAAACCATTGTTGCATGAACAGTGAATGCACAATGAGCCCTGGCTACCTGATGTATGTCTGCAAGCTCCTGATGACTTCATAGCTCATGAGTGTCAGAGCAAAACAGAGCCCAGATTGATTTATGAATGGTCATCAGTAAAGAGTGGAAGAAAAGGACTGATCTAGAATGAGGGTTCTGTATGCAACACTGGGTTAGACAGGTACCCAAATAAAGCCTATTTCACACATAATCTAAGCCAAGCAAACAGTTACAGAGTTATAAATGAAGAAAACCCACTACACTTTGTGAAGGTTCAGGTAACATTATGGGGATCTATACATAAGTTCAGTAAATAATATAAGGGCTTTTCATTTTGAGGTTCTGCTGGGCTTTCAGAGGGAATAAAAGACCTAGCAAAAAGAGGCAGGTATGTTCAGAGTCAGTAAAAACCTTGACAAGTACTAAGAAATTATCAAGTGGATGAACTGATGAATAGACATAAAAATCTATTCAAAAATGCAGTGTACCAGTGCCTTACTTAAGACACATCCCATCAGCATCTGCTAATTGTAGTATGTATCCCTCTGCTCCCTCAAAATGGTGTCTCAGGGCTTGCTTTGTCCTCTCAAACTGGAAAACAGGAAAGGCAGGGTTACAAAAGTGCCATTTTTATTACTATTGACAATTATAACAAAAGAGAAAAACAAGCAAAAATTATCCTTGGATAGCACACTCCTATAATGCTTTCCTGAGAAGAATATAGTCCAGTACAAGCTATTTGACTCATGACACAGCTTAAGAGATGCAAGCCACTGAGGTATTTGTCAGAAAAGACTAGAAGAGCATATCTGTTCTGTTTGTTGTGGTGAATTTGATACGGTCAAGATCGGGATTTTCACAATTGTCTGCAAGTTAGGTTCTCCAACAAAAAAAAATCCAAAACACCTCTAGAATCTCTCCAGGAGCCTTGGGGCTTTAGCATTTCCCAAGAGGGAGAGGATTCTTTATCAACAATGCACCAGAGACAGAACTGGATGCAAGCCAGAAAAGCATCCGCAGCAAGTTCAGTAGCTGTGACAGGATCATGAGATTGTTCCGTGACAGAAAGCCTGGCAGATGGCGTAAGCTTATCTTTGTATCATCAATTGGCCAGCACTGTTTTGTGAACACAGTTG